GCCAGGGTTGGAGGGTTTGAGCTATAGAGACAGGCTGAGAGGTGATCTTATAGAGATTTATAAAATCATGAGGGGCATGGATAGGGTGAATAGCCAAGGTCTTTTTCCCAGGGTGGGAGAGTCCAAAACTAGAGGGGCATAGGTTTCAGGTGAGAGGGGAAAGATTTATAAGGGTCCTAAGGGACAACATTTTCACACAGAGGGTGGTGTGTGTATGGAATGAGCTGCCAGAGGAAGTGGTGGAGGCTGGTACAATTACAACGTTTAAAAGGCATCTGGATGGGTATGTGGATAGGAAGGGTTTAAGAGGGATTTGGGCCAAATGATGGCAAATAGGACTAAATTAATTTCGGATATCTGGTCAGCATGGATGAGTTGGGCCGAACAGTCTGTTTCGTGCTGTATAGCTCTGGCTCAATGGACTCTGTATCCACCCAAGCTAGCAGTAGTACTTCAGTTTAACGTTGTATCCAAAAAAACATCATCTTGGACAGTGCAGCACTCCTTCAGCACTGAACATTTTGTGCTCAATATAGCAAGAAGAACAGTTCAGATACAGCTTTAAAACTGTACCCCAGCTGCTGTTCCCTTATAATGCAACAGCCTGGCCTGACTGAGCATTCCAGCTCAACCAACAACCAGGGGCCTACGCTCAATGTGTTCCTGGGAAATTTCAAGAATACGGAAATAAGATGAGGTTGACAGAACAAACAATATTTTGGGAGCAAGTGAAACCTGGAGGAAATGAAGAAAGATAGCTCTGCTCCTGAAGCACAACCAAATGGCACTCCAAACTGCCCAGAATACAGGGCCCGGTTCCAAGCATAACTGGCTGCAAAAAGGAAAAGTATCTGAAACGCTGGTTAATGTTAACAGGAAATAGTTTGAAAAGTGGCATTAGTTTGTGTGTTTAACCTGAAACAGTGCCAAAGTATTTTCAACCTTCATGTGGCTTCACTACTTAATGTGTGCAGGAAATGTGGCACAGGGTCGGAGATACAGAGAGTCTAGCCCGGGAGAGACCCAGGTCCTGGCTCTGATCCAAACAGAATCGCCAGTAAAACACGGCCAACTCGAACTGTGAAAAAATCCAGCTGTACAACTGAAAGCTCGTCCTTGCAATGCTGGTCTGGACCTGGAGGGAGAATGATCAACTGTGTGGAGTTTGCACGTTCTCCCTGCATCTGCGTAGGTTTCCTCCGGGTGCTCCGGTTTCCTCCCACAGTCCAAAGATGTGCTAAATAGTGTCCAAGGTGTGTATGCTAGGTGGATTAGCCATAGGAAATGTAGGGTTAGAGGGAAAGGGCAGGGGAATGGGTCTGGGTGGGATGCTCCTCGGAGGGGCAGTGTGGACTTGTTGGGCCGAAGGGCCTGTTTCCACACCGTAGGGATTCTATGTTTCTCATGGTACCTTCGAGAAGCGTACTGTCGGAGACCTCCAGCAGGTGCACAGAACCGAATACAATTCAGCCAGTAAGCTGTTGCTGACAGAAGTTATATTCTTTTCTAATGAATAGAGGGCCTTGGTCAGCTCATCCAGAGATAATGACTGGTGCAGCCTCTCCAAGACCCCCGTGATCGAGGACAGGAACGGCCGGGAGGCCACGCTGTCAGTGGTTTTTGTGTCATACAGACTGGCAATAAAAGGATTTGCTGATCCTCAGTGTGTCAGGTTGAAGTGATGTCACCGAGCCATCTTCTTCCTTCACACTACTGAGTACAGAGCTCTTCTTTTGGACTACGTCTCATCCTGCTCCACAGTATGGGCCCTGGACTGGAAGATTAACTTGGAGGACTCTGAGGCAAACAGTGAAACTTGCTAGCTCCTCGAGATCCTCCATGATATTGACCCCCATCATCTGCAGCAGGAGTAGGTTCTGCGTGACTTTCTGGATTGTCTATAATACCCCCAGGGCCTTACCATTGACTGTGTAAGTCCTGCCCTGGATCGATCCACCAAAATGCAACACCTTGCATTTCTCTAACCTCCATCTGCAATACCTCAGCCCACAAGCCCTGTTGATCAAGATTCTCTATATTCCCAGATAACCCTCTTCCCTATCCACTATACCACCAATCTCAGAGCCATTTGCAAACTTACTAACCAATTCTCATTCAAATCATTTATAGGTATGACGAAAAGAGGACGAGAACGGGGCAGAGGAAGGGGGGTGCAATTTTACAGGAACCCTTGAAAACTGTCAATCTTCCAATTACACAGCAAGCAACAAGAGGTGGTGGGCCTGCTAGAGACATGTTCCCCTGATGTGGTCATTTCAGAGAGCAGAGACCCACACTGCTGTGGGTCTGGAGTCACATATACTCCTCACTGGGTAAGGACACCAGATGTTCATCCCTGAAAACAGATTGTTGGTGAACCTTCTCCATCAGCAAATTTCTTTTATTAGCTACTATCCCATTCCACCAGCCCTCTAGGAGTGCCACGCGTCCCATATTTGGGACTCCCTTCAACAACGTTCCTCCCTTCCTGAGGTCAGTTCCTAGCCCCTGGAGTGACCCACATCACGCAGAGAGGCACGAAATGCTCCACTGGTACAAGTTAATCAAAGCCACATGGACTGCTCTGGTTCAAAGCAATTGCTCGCAACCACTTTCTCAAGGGTAACCCAGAATGGGCAATAACTGATGGCTCTCCACAGATTGTCCATGTCCTATGAATTGTTTTTTAATGTAAAACTAGTTTTACTGGAAATTGTAGATCAGGATGACACCGGATTTGGGGAAGGCAGGAGGAGAACAAATCCAGAAATGCACGGATGGTGGGAACCCATTTGGGGCAGCACGATGGCTCAGTGGTAAACACTGCTGCCTCACAGCGCCAGGGACCTGGATTCGATTCCACCCTCGGGCGACTGCCTGTGTGGAGTTTGCACGTTCTCCCTGTATCTGTGTGGGGATCCTCCGGGTGCTCCAATTTCCTCCCACAGTCCAAAGATGTGCAGGTGAGATGGATTGGCCGTGCTAAATTGCCCTGTAGTGTTCAGGGATGTGTAGATTAGGTGGGATGTTCCGAGGGTCAGTGTGGACTTGTTGGGCCAAAGGGCCTGTTTCCACACTGTAGGGATTCTATGACTGCAATAGAATTAGGAACCGAGAGAGAGTAGGGGGTTTGCCAGGACATCACTGAGGTCCTCTTATGACGCAACTCCATGTATTTTGTTCTTTCAATGAACAATAGGTAGTTAAAAATTAAAAACTAACAATAAAAGGAAGCAATAATCCTGTGACAGGATCCTTGTGCAACGCTAGGAAAGGTTCCTGTGACACGTAGCAAAAACTCATATTTATGAATGGAATCCCTAACAGGGGTGTATTAATATTAATTTTAAAGACCTTACACATGAATGTGTGCTCGCACGTATGAACAGCTATTTTATATTGTCTTGGATTGCGTACTGACTCCTATACGGATTGGCTTATGAGCACATGCAGGAAAGGAACCTATTTGTAGCATGGGCTGTGCCTATAGTTGCAATTTTCACTCAACCCCTCAGTTTAAATACAAGTTACTGTACAACTTACTGCTAGGAACAGTGCAATGAAGGGAACAAGTGTCTGGGAGCTCAGCGAACGGACAGAACAATGGTCGCTATCTCTAACCAAGAGGATTGAAGGATAGAGAAAGAGAGAGGACGTATGAAAGAAGAAATAGGATGAATTCAGGTCAAGAAAGGTAAATATAGAAGGGATTAAGAAAGAGGGAGAAAACACAGAGGAAAGTAAATAAATATATATTCCCCAAGAAGAATTGACTGGCTGTAAAAATGAGATTCAATGGTTCATATTTTTCCTCATCTGGGCCAAAGAGGTTGTCTGGCATCATCACGTAATGCTGTGGACAGGGTAAATATTCTGGTATGACCCTGAATTATCTGTAATGGGTTTAGTGGGAAACTGATATGCAGGTGCTGTAAGATCGTAAAGGGTAACGGGGAAGCCGAGCACGAGATGTCACTTGTACGAGGCTATCAGCAAATCAATCGACATTTTCTGGAGACTGGCAACACTTGCCACATCGAAGCCATTTGTACCCGAGTGACAGGCTGCCATGTGCACTCACAATTCTGTTTCCAGTTAGGATGGGCATTGGATACTTCTATCAAGGATTCAGGAAGGGCATGATTTGGTGGTGGTGGTGGGGGGGGAGGTGGGGGGGGGGGGGGGGGGGGAAGGGGGCGGTGGTGGGGGGTGTCACAGTGATTGACCCAGTTCAAAAAAAGGCCGCCCAATTCTACAACGCTGAGTGTGCAACTGCTCCCAAAGCAGCTTTCAGTCCCCAGTCGCCCCTTACACTTCCCCAATCCGTGCACAAGCAGCTTCACCCACTCAACAAGAATGGAAGCAGACAACAAATGACGACAGGAGGATATCACATGACCGGCTGGGTTCCTAAACTTACAAACCTCAGGTTAGCCACACACCAACTGAATCAGTGCAGCAGTCATCAAAATGACTGATTTCAGGAAGAAAACCAGCAGGGTCAGAACAGCCAAGTTTTAAAAACTTCCCAAAGTGTCAACAGTTTCAAAAAAATATATAATTTCTTGCCTTGTTATGTAATTGTGCTTTTCTTTCGGCTGAATCCTTCCGAAATGAAAAGATTTGATCTTTACCTTGATGAAGTAATGATTACCTGTTGATTCTGAATTAATTTTGTCTCATGCAGTTCCCTGCTACAAATGAAAACTCACTCTGAATTTCAGCAGAATAAAAACAAAACTGTTCCCACACATCAAATCATTTTTATTCAGAAAAACGGTGGCTTTGTATTAAAATTTTGGGAATTGTCAACTAGACCTACTTATCCTCCCCATTATACTTGGACAGAGGGCACTGTTGAGCTGGCATTATAATGGAAATCTTCTAGAAGTGGGCAACATGGTGGCTCAGTGGTTAGCACCACTATCTCACAGTGCCAGGGTTCAAGTCCACCTTTGGTGGCTATCTGTGTAGAGTTTGCACCATTCTCTGCGTTTCTGCGTGGGTTTGCTCCGGTTTCCTCCCATAGTCCAAAGACGTGCAGGTTAGGGTGGACTGGCCATGCTAAATTGCCCATAGCGTGCAGGGATGTGCAGGCTGGGTGGGTTAGCCATGGGAAATGCAGGGTTACGGGGTAAGGTAGCGGGGTGGGTCTGGGTGCCATGCTTTTCGGAGGGTCAGCATGGACTTGATGGGCTGAACAGCCTGCTTCCACACTTTAGGCATTCTATGATTCCAACTACAACACACTGAATATCTATGCACCTAGCAATGACTACAGCACAGCAAAAGGGTACAGGGTGTTAGGTTCTGTGTAATGTCTTCTCTCCTTCAGTCACACCCTTTTGTAGACTTGGTGATCCACTGGTTAGTTTCTAGGCAGATGCATTTATGTAGCAACCATCACAGCCTCAAGATCATACCCAGGCACTTTACATCCATGGGGCACAGTTTTTTTTCTCAGTTAAGAAATTTAGAACAGCCCCTGATGGGGCATCGGAACAAAAACATAATCAAACAGTTAACTTATTAAAGATGAACAAAAACATATTAAATCAGAATAACAGAAGAACCAGACGTGGATCAGCAACGGCGATGGAACCAACCACTCCCAGCTCAACCCAAACCTGGAGTCAGTGTAGAAACCGGTTCATGGGCACTGAATGGCACGGGTCACCATTCACACTGTGGGCAATGGCTTTGGGATGGGCCAAAGCCACTTCAATTCAATATAGACTGAGACAAAAACCTTTTAACATGCAGCCCCCTTCCTGCTACAGGGACAGCCAACATTGGAAAGGGGAGAAGCGAGGAACGCACTGACCATGAGACACGCTGTAGAATAGCCAAGGGTACAGTAATTCTCGCATTGAAAACAGACGGTCTGTCACTGGAACGAACAGAAGCCTTTGAAATGGGGTACAACTGGCAATTGTAGCCCCTTTCTCCAGCGCACCCACGCTGGGAGCTCAGTTTCAGGCTCAGGAGCACAAACTACCTTCTTCAGTTTGAAATTCTAACACGCAGTGTTGCCAACTTTGACTGTACACATTCCTGGAGAATTCCCCACATGACCTCCAAACACTTCACCCTTGAAATCATTTTCTACCAATCTCCCATCTTTCTTGAACTAAATTTTAAATCAAAAAAGTGTTGTAAGAAATAAATAAAAGTATGTTTTCTTTCGTACGTCCTTCGGGTTTTCCAACTGGAGTTAGAAGGGGAGATTTCTGAAGCCAACAAAACTGGAATAGAAACTCTAACAGGTTTCAAACAAAGCCTGACTGGAAATCTTGGGTGTTTCCAGAAACTGGATTTGGAGAATTCTTCTATAAATTTCGCTAGTGTCAGCCTCTGGCAATTTAATTATGAGCACAGCAGATGTCAACACGTTCACCAATCTGTGCTTACAACTCCCCTTTGAACATGTCCATTCAGCCATTCAGCGAACATGATGGTATTCACCAGCTCCTGATGCATTAAAAAAAGCAAGTGACTCCTGCTTGATGGAGCAATGTCCAAAGCCACAGCAGTGAAGCTATTCTTCCTGTGTGCTTCCTGTCAGCGACAACTCAAGATGATTCCAGGACAATTTTTGATGACCAGGGACAGATCCAGTGTATCGGCCAACACC